CTTTTCAGAGTTTGTAAGACAATTTATAATTTATTAGTGAAATGGATAAATTATGTTTCACAGAAGTTCTTAAAATCAAAATGGTTTCCATCAGATTGATCATCGATAGCAATTAACAGTGAAATCTAATGATACAAAGCTTGGGCAATTTTGTCAAATAAAAAAAGTACACTGTTATTCAACATGAAGATATATAGGGTAACAGCAAAGTCCAGGTTGTTGATTGTGTTGCATCTAAGTTGTTGGCATTGAATTTATAAAGAAGTGAGGCAAAATATTGTTTCAAAATGCTGCTTATTAGGAGATACAAATTTGGATAAATCGACTTTATTTTATTTTACGAGGGTAACACGTGACAGTAAAGAACTGATGAACTTGTGGCCCTCACACTCACACTCACTACCTCTACATTAATTATTTTAGCACACAACACTCCTCACATGTTGATTTTTACTGAGGGAGGAAAACCGGAGGACCCGGAGAAAAACCCTCGTGGCAAGGGAGAGAACAACACATCAAACAAACTCAAACTCACATGGATAATTTGTTTTGCATAATTATCTCAAAATTGAGAAACCTGTCATTTACATGTGAAAAGGTTAAAAAAACAAATATCATTTTCTGTAAAAGTAGCAGATGCATGTCAATGAATCTTCAGGAACCTTGTCCAAAAGAAATGAATGCACTAAAAGAACCTGTTAACAAGATTTACTTTTGTCTTTCACTGCCAGCTGTTACATTATAATAAGCAATGTTAACATGAACTAACAGTCACTTTTAKTAATAAATAATTAAATTAATACAATTTCTCTTAATTTCTTATCAAAATATCAATAAATAATTTATTTAAGAATTTACATGCACAAATTATTTAGTTTGTGGAGTTATTTATTAAAGCTTTTTTTAAAGCTTTTTAAAAACGTTTTACTTATAATTAGATCTGAAAAAAATACAGTGCATTTCTCACATGTTTTTAGAGTGACAAACATTAAACTGGGAAATGCTAACATACAATACATGTAGTAAAATAGACACAAATGAAATAACATTAATTTAGCCCAACATGYATATTGATGGTTTAATTTTATGTCACTCTATGAAATGTGCAAAAACAGTTTACAGAGTAATTAAAAAAACATTTGTAAGGAAATATTAAATTGATTTATAAATAATATTTAATTGATGATGTAATTTGAAAATAAAAATCATTTTTAATGATAAATATTATTTCTTTCTGATATTTGATAGAAAATTTGAAAAAATTAATTTATTTATATTTTGTATAATTAAAAAGAAATTTTCTTTTTCAGGACTATTTGAAAAATTAACAAGCAGTTGTAAAGGAATATTCTAGTTTCACATTTTTTTACGCTGTSCTAAATCATGTATAATTGAAGTTGTAGAAAAACATCATTGAATTTCAAATCAAAAGTTTTGAACATTTTAAGATTGTGAAAAACAAGAGAATTTATCTTACTTTGAGGCGAATACAGCATAAATGGATGCAAAACTAGAGCATTGATTTTTTTWAAATAAATAATTCATGCATGTACATGTCCAAAATTTACTCAATAAAGATATGAAATACATTAAATGTAATGTGCAATAATAAAAATAGAAATATGAAAGAATGCTTTGGTAGAATCTTCATAGGTAAAAACACGAAAAATGTCAGATGGGCTTATTTTAAAATCATAAAAGCAGCATCACTAAAAAAATTATCATGGTGTCAATAAACCATTTCTCGATTGGAATACATAAAACATTAGGGTTGTGTGAAACTGCTGTATCTTAATATTGTTTTACTCATGACAATAAAGGGAAACAGTATATCATTATAGTGGCCTCTTCAGAATTCTGACMTTTCTCATTGATTATACCTATTACTTTTTCATTACTTCAGCAAATGCATTCATGAGAGCTAAATTCATTGCATGTTGTTCTTGCTGCTGCTGCTGCAGTTGTTGTTGCTGTTGTTGTAGCTGTGTCATGATCATTCCCTGAAACTGTTGCTGTTGCCTCAACTCCTCTGATCTTAATTCCAACTCCCTCTCCTTTACCTTGGCCTGTTCCTCGCTTTCTTTTGTTTTCCTTTCCATATTCTTTTCCATTATATCTGTCATACTAAGTGCTCTTCTCTTCC